ACATAAGAAAAACATATACAAGATATATAGGAAAAACATATTAAATATATAAAGAAACATACTGTAATAGGTTTCCAGATTAAATAATTAGTTTATTCGAATTCATCACCAATAAAATAAAATCTTATCCTCATCAGAGAGTCTAAGGGGAATTCTTCAATTGGTCAGTTACCTTTTTTTTTTACATTTAAATTCTTATAAAAACCTTAAGGTTTGTCTTGGTAAGAAGGGGAAAGGGAAACAATTGAAAGCCTGTGAATTAAATTAAGATTCGACGTTGTTATTTTACATTCCAGGGAAATCGTTGAAACCTTACTTAAAGTTCAAACACAAAAAAAAAAAAAAAAAAAAAAAAAAAAAAAAAAAAAAAAAAAAAGACTTATCTGGTAAGGACGTCTTGAAGTGGAGGACTCGTATCCTAATAAGCGTTGACGTTGGCGGGGCTCATTTTTACGGTCACAAATGGAAGTTTCAGAAGACATCGTCCTGTCCTGGCACTATTGGCGAAACACACACGCAGGTAACTGGTTTTCATAACGACGAAGCTATTTTAACTCTGGAAAAACAGAAACAGGTGCACTACTGCCCAGCACGGCTATCCGCCTGGTCTTGAAAGTCTTAAGTCAACACGCAGGTAACTGGTTTTCATAACGACGAAGCTATTTTAACTCTGGAAAACAGAAACAGGAGCACTGCTGCCCAGCACGGCTATCCGCTTGGTCTTGAAAGTCTTAAGTCACTCGCCCGGTTCAATTTCGCCTTTTAACCAGAACGCGGCAGGGGAGCATCTCTCTTCGTAAATTACATCTTTTTCAAGCAAGTTTCAAGAGTAACCTCCAAAAGTAAGTTCAGCAAGCCAGTAAGTCTCTCCAAGTCTCGCGCAAAAAAAAAAAAAAAAAAAAAAAAAAAAAAAAAAAAGACACCAAAAAGTCTTTCCAAGAGTAAGTGAGTAAAGTCTTTAAATCTTTCAGCAAACATTCATACCTCTTCAACCTCGCCTCTTAACCAAAACACGGCCGGGGAGCATATTTGCTCCCCGCCGGGAAACATCTCTCTTCGTAAATTACATCTTGTCTATCGCTTTCAAGCCAGTTTTCAAGAGTAACGTCCAAAAGTAAGTTCAGCCAGCCAGTAAGTGATTCAACTCAAATTTTCTTCGTCTCCTTCACAAACGCGGGTTCCCACTATGGCTTCAATTATCGCCCCCTTAATTTTGGCAAAATTTGCGTTTTCAACCTCTGAATGCGGAAATAAGGGTGATCGCGCATGCGCGCCCTTCTTCACTTAGCCAACAACCGGACCCTCAATCCCCAAAACCTGAATGACTTACATCGAAAGTCAAGTAGCAACCTTTGACCTTTCTGTCACGTCCTTCCTCTCTTAAGGTCAACTACACAATGAAATTCCTTCTAGAACATTCTAAAGGACAAAGCGCGCGAAATCATGACTTAGCAAAAATTGCTTCCCTTTCCCTGCTTTTTTTCACAATGAATCAAAGCTTGTACAAAATTTGCAAATAAAAGAAAATAAATAATATTCTTTTAAACTAAATAATATTCCCAGAAGCATCTGTTTTTCCCCAAAATTAAACCCTTAAAATAAATAATTCAGAATCAAATAAAATTAAGATTTTCATAAATCAGAAAATCATTCACCTAGTTTTTATAACGCTATCAGACAAATTCTCTAGACAACACAACCTTTAATTAAGTTTCCGCAATTTAGGATATTTTCCCTAGACCAGTACCTTCTAGAAATTGCTAGCCTGTTACGTAACCGCTACTATAAATAACGAATGCACGCCATTTTGCGGACAGAAGATACCCTCTGCCTGTGCTGGTAAAAACCTACGCTGCTGCTCCCATCTTCCTTTCCTCTATGGCGCATTAAACTTAAAAAATCTTATTTAGTAACGAATAGTGATCTGCATCAAAATTCAGGCATTGCTTTTGCAGAGTGGTAAGCCAAAATTCAAATGACGAAACAAGATGATTTAGCTTTTAATTACACATCTTTATTCCATAGCTTTAATTAAATTTCAGAAGCAGATCACTATTCGTTACTAAATAAGATTTTTTAAGTTTAATGCGCCATAGAGGAAAGGAAGATGGGAGCAGCAGCGTAGGTTTTTACCAGCACAGGGAGAGGGTATCTTCTGTCCGCAAAATGGCGTGCATTCGTTATTTATAGTAGCGGTTACGTAACAGGCTAGCAAATTCTAGAAGGTACTGGTCTAGGGGAAATATCCTAAATTGCGGAAACTTAATTAAAGGTTGCTGGTTCGCATAGAGCAAAGCCGTCCTATTTTTTATATTTTACCTTTGTTCTTATATGTTTGTAAATGGTGCACTTTTTGCTTTATAAAGGATTGAATTATGTTGTTCTTATCGTCCAGTTAATGTTTTTGTGCCTTTAGTTAACCTGCATGTTACAGTTGCAGAATAGTCAACAATTTAAAAGTTATTTAAGTGCGGCTAAGCCTAATTATTTTATCACGGCAGCCATATTGATTGCATTTGAAAGTTACTAGAATAGTGGATTTATTTGTTGACAATCTAGAGAAACTAAGCTTTGCCACAACAAAGTAACGTCTTCTTTTATTTTTGCGAATTAAATTATGCTTAATTCATTCTGGAATTATCATCTAAGTCTATTAAATCATCCCTTTAGTTGACTCAGCATAGATTTCCACAACAAAACTTGAAATCAGTTTCTACGCCTTTAATGTCTTTTTGCCGAAGTGAGAGCAAAAGTTAAACTTTCAGTTTTGTGCACCGATAAACCAGCTGCCTTTTTTTTTTTTTTTTTTTTTTTTACTACGCTGGCCGAATTGCTTGTTTTTTCACAGAAACTCTCACTTTAAATGTAAAAATTATTTTTAAAAATTTAACTGTATTTGGTGTTTTATGTTTTTCTATATCTTTGAATTTTTAGTGAAGATATTTTGAGTTTTATACATTTTTGCCTTGCCGCGAAGTGAGAAATGAATTAATTGGATGAGAAATATATCTCTAATGAAATTCGACGCAATATATTTTTCATATTACCCGAAAATACTGTCACCAGTCTGTTTCGGACAGAGGAGAATGATTACGAATAGCGCATGCGCATTAGGTAAGCAGCGCTGAATCGTTTGTGAAAAACTGTTTCTTTTTTATTTGTTTCATTTCTTTTATGCATCGTTGTAGATTTATTATAGTATTTGAATAGAACATGGGGCAACGATTAGATAATTGAGATGATATAATTTTTGTGCATTCTGAGTTTTAAAATTGAATGAGATGTAACCAGTGGCGTAGTTAGAACTTTTGGGCCCCCGTGCAAAACATTTTCCTGCTCCTCCCCCATAAATTTACTGTGCTTAAAAAAAGGGGGGAGAAAGTAAAGATTTGCGGAGATTTTTAAAAAAAATCCAGTAGGTTCGACATGCAAGTATATTTCGAGTTTCTATATGAAATCTGCGCCAATTCAAGTTTTTTCCGCTTAATTTAGCAACCTAGTAAATAACTGGTTATGTTATAAACTGACAGACAACATGATAGGTAAACGTACAAAAAAGAAATTACACTAATATATAGCGTTCTGTGATCAACTGAGCTTACGAACATGACTTATGCAATAATATACAAGTCATAAATAAGAACTTTTATAATGTAAATTATACATTTGTTAAATATAAAACATATTTATCATAAATTTAATAAAAAAACCTATTTGAACATACAATATTTGTAGAAAATATGTATGGTAAAGTCCCCCCCCTTTCTTTTAAGAAAACTTTTTGGTACACTAAACTACTGGAATATATGATTTTTATACATGTTTTAAGTTTAAATATGTAAATGTAGTTCAGCAGGACATTCATGGGCCCCCTAAACCTTCGGGCCCCTATGCGACTGCATTCCTTGCATACCCTTATTTACGCCACTGGATGTAACGCTCTTAAGTGAACCTAGCGCCAGAGTATCGCTATGGCAAATAAATATGAATTTTATGAATTTTTAAATTTAATTTAGTTAAATGAAGTGAATTTTAAAAATCGCGTTTATTCCATTTTGGTTTATGCGCTATCGACGAAGTAGATTTAATCCAATTCAATAAGTTTAAATGAAATGCAGGGGAAAATGCGGATAATTTAATATTCTATACAAGAAAGTCATGTGGTGTACACATCAGATTTTTTTTTTTTCTTTTCACTTCTGAAAAAGAGAAAAGTATAACTGATTTTTGTCACAATTAGTTGAATTTTATTCAACATTTACGTCAATGTAAAGTTTCTTTTTTGCCTAATTCAAATCTGAATTGGCCTATTTTTATTCTAGTCACAAGATTGAGAGTTCTATCGCGTAGGAATGTAAACATATAAAAGATACCTTTCATCTTTGATGCAGGAATAGTATATTTTGCACGTAGCCCATCCTTATCTTCGAAGAATTCCACTAATAGACAAACTAACCTTTACAAATCTTGAATTTCATGTCAAAGCAGAAATTTCCATTCAGCAGAACGTAACGTATCTGTACAAGAAAAATTATTAAACATTTTAGTAATGGATGATGTTGATGTATTTTAATTATGGCAAAGCACACGAGGGCTATCTGCCTAAGGGGAGGGATGCCTTCGTGGAGAAGTTTCTAAGGGAAACTGGCTCGTATACACGTTACACATGGGGAAAACCACGAAAACGCCCATGCAGCCAGCCCGTTCGCGGGACTCGAACCTCGGACCGAACTACCAGTGTTCAGCGACTTTCCCGCTCGGCCGCTGGTGGGCTTTAGTGATGGAAGAGACTTTCAAACGCTATTCGTTTACGTAAAATTTCTATAAAAATTTAGTACACATTTCTTATACCAACACGACGAATACAATAACACAGACTACCACTAACCATTCTATTTAAAGTAATTTTTAAAAAGTGAGTAGATGTTTATGCATTGCTTCTTTGTGTGTTTGAAGTAGCAGGTGCTCATTGTTATTTTTGTTTTTGTTCTTTTTTATAGCACCGTTTTCCTGGCTGCAGTAGCTGAAACTGTAGTCGCTGATTTCAATTTTAAACTCTGCGATCCTATAAAAGACAGTTATGGTGAGTGCAATATGAATTTAATAACACAGAAATGGCAACAAAAGACAGTAAGAAAATATATCAGGGGTTTTATTTATTTATTTATTCTATTCAAGTTTAATTTAATTTAATTATTCTAATTAATATTTTATTTATTTTCATTTCATTATTTAGTTTTATGTTCAGTCTAGAAATGCTATTCTAAATAATTTTTATTTCCTATTTACTCTCTTCTTTGGTTTGTTCATTTATTAATGAATAAATTGCAATAATAAGACAAAGCTTTAAAATTTTCAGTATGTTTCCACACCAGGTTGCATAAAAAAATTTTAATCCAAGTCCGTTAGTGTAGCTAGCATTCTAAATTAGTTACTTTAAAAAAAGAAAAAAAATAGTGCCTTTCCGATAGGGGGTGCCACGTAGTGCCAATCAAAAACATTGGTACGAAATTTAACAAGAAAGGGGCAACCTAAAGATACGTAAAGCTTCCTGATAAAAAATGAACTTGCAATAATAGTAATGTATCATATAGTAGTATAGTATATGTTACGTTTAATGCGTGTAATGCCAAAGATGTGCAATTATCTGATGTTTTTTAAGCCCAAACAGATCGCTGTGTACCTAGGTAGAAGAACTGTCATTCTTCCTATATGCACAGCGATCGTTTTTCCTAGAAGGAACTATTATTATGAATGTACATGGCTATATTTTTGGTTAAAGCGATCTCTTTCTCTTAAAGGTATTATTGTTCTAAGCATATACATAGCGATCTGTTTAAAAAGTATTAGAAACTACAGAAATTCGGCATCCGGCATAGCTTTGGCACTGTGCACCTTAAACATTGCATAGATATTCATGACGTGATATAAACAGCCATATTTGGCCCTTTGGCGCCCATATGCCATTCGATACCTCATTGCCAGAAAAGCAGTGGGAAAATAAAAATGTCTTTTTATAACTCCAGGTTGCTACGATTTCGCGGGTCCAGTTAATTACTAATAGAGATGAAAATTATTGCTTTTAAATCATTTACTTTGTTAATCAATAACAGACAGATTCAGTTTGAAATAAATATTAAAGATTCTTCATTACCTATTAATGGAGATAGAGATGTAAATTCATTTACTTTTTTCAATAAAAATTTAAAAAAAAAAAAAAAAAAAAAAACTGAAAGATTTGGCTTTTACTTGGAACAGTTAAAGGTTTATATATGAAAAACTTTTAACTATCGTTCTTCTCCTCCAAAACATTTGTTTTAATTAATGAAACTCTAAGAATCATTTTTTTTAGATTTAACAATTGAAAGAATATAAATATAAAAGTTAACAATTGAAAGAATATAAATATAAAAGTTAACAATTGAAAGAATATAAATATAAAATTCAATAATCCTTAATCCTGGATTCATGAAAATTCAGAGCAAATACCTAAAAGGTATTTGAATTGGCGAGAACTTTACAGAGAAAGATAAATTTAATTAAAAATAAATTTAATTTTAAAAACAAGTGCATTTGATAAGGACTAAAAATTTATATAGCTATAGCCAATGAAGAAGGAAATTTCGTTTAGTTTAGACGATTCTAGCAAGAAAGCATCTAATAATCTAGCTAACGAAAGAATTCCTTTGTGGTGGGCTTTGTCAGAGGAAATTCACGAAAACTCCAGCCAACCATTCCGTAGTCCGAGATATGAACTTCTAAAAAGGAGATAAATTATTTTTCATTCCGCCCCTTTTACTTCCTTCTACGAAGTAAAGGAAGTATTGTAATCACGAAAAATTCCGGTTTCATATTTCAACGAAAATATACATTTTGACCACTATCGAATGCAATTTAACGATCTTATTGCCTGACATCTGTACGTAAGGACAGAATAAAGAACTCTTTTTCCGCAAACGAATTATAAAACTGATTTAAAATGAATTCCAACAAGATTTTTTTCGCGGCGTCTGTACGTACGTACATACGTATTTATCTCGCATAACTCAAAAACGAGTAGAGTCAGAACTTTGAAATTTTGTATATACGACTGCTATGACATGTAGTTGTGCATCTCCATTTTTGGTTGCAATCGGCAGCACCAAGCATCAAAAGTATATATATATAAGGTTGTATGATCTTAAATTTATTTAGTGCAACAACTAATAAAATACTATAAAAACAAGTAATTCTACTACTTGCGCAAATGCTGCAAAGTAAGTTAATAATAATTTATTTACTAAATAATATTGATTAATTGATTATATTATCTCCTAAGTTTAATTATAGTAGAATTTTCTTAAAAGAGTGAAACCATACTTATTAAGTTCTATTTTGAAAGATGTTTTGAACTCACTCTGATGCTTGCTGACTGAGCTCAGTTTTTTATTCCTATATATTGGCAAATTGTGAATTTTTTGCTTTAAAATGATTGAGTTATGTTGTTGTTATTTTCTGGTTAACGCTTTCGTGCCTTTAGTTAATCTGCATGCAATAGCTATAGAATTATCAAGAATTTAAAAGTTGTTTAAAGTGCGGCTAAGTCTTTTTTTTTTTTTTTAACTACAACAGCCATATTTGTTTACAATTGCAAGTTAGCCGAATAGTGAATTAAGTCTTTCTGCACATTCAGTGTCTTTTTGTCGAGTGGGACCAAAACGAAACTTTTAGTTTTGTCCATCGAAATATCTGCGTTCTTGCCTGCTGGCCGAGTTGCTTGTTTTTGCATAGGAACTGCAATTTAAATTGCAAAAATTGCTTTTTAATTGTTTTAACTATATATTTGGTGTTTTACGTTTTTCTATACCTCGTAATTTTTGTTGAAGATATTTTCAATTTTTATGTATCTTTGACTTGCTGCAAAGTAAGAACTGAATTAATTGAATGAGAAATGTATCTATATCGAGGAAATAAGTTTAAATGAAATGCAGCACAAAATGCGTATAATTTAATATTCCATACAAGGAAGTCATGTGCTATACACATTAGATTTTTTTAGTAAGTGAAATGAATTTTCAAGGAAAGTTATTTTTAATTGTGGAAATCAATAGAAGATTAGGAAATAGAAGATTAGGAAGAAGGAAATCAATAGAATGAATAGACACAGAAGCTGTTCGCACATTTTCAGACGATTTTCATTGTATGTCTTGAAAATGCTCCTCCGTGCGTCTCATTTTTAGTTAAAAATGAATTATATTTTAAAGAAACTATCTTGTTATATGTTACAGTAGATCTGTGTATAGATTTTTGGATATGATGTTATTAAGAAGTTTAAACTTGTGATAATGTTTAACAAAAGGTGACTTTTTTTCCGAAAACTGGGTTTAAGTTCACAAAAATCCTTTTTAAAAATTTCGGATCCATTATATTCAATAGCGGATACACAAAAACTTTTGTCAAGTCTTTATAACTAACTTAAAGAAAAAATTAGGAAACAATATTGAAAATTAGCGCGCAAGAAGCATTTTAAATTTAATTAAAATAATTAATATTTGTTAAAATTTTTTTAATTTAAATAATTTTATTTTGAACATATATTTAATAAATTTCTGTTATAATATGTATATGTATAAAATTTCTTGTTGAAAACACAAAAACTTAAAAAACTAATTTTTAAAGTCCATCGTCCCCTTAAAGCGTGGGTTAAAAAATCTAAAGAAAGTTTTTCAAAGCAATAGATGATTGTTCCTGGTTTTCCATAAAAAGGCAAATTAAAAATAAGGGCAGCGAAGAAAATTGTTCAGATCAAATCCACATATTATCAGGAACATATTTTATACCCAATTTTCAAATATGAAAAACTCCGCTTTCATCGTAGTGTCGTCAGTCAGAAGAGCTGCATTAAGACAAAGCCACACGTGAAAATCTACTGTTAATTTCTTGGAAAAAATTAACACGTCAAAATCTACTGTTAATTTCTTGCAAAATATGAAACAAGAAACGGGTATCAAGGCTATATCCTTCACTCATATCGTTACTAAATCTCCTGATGTATCAGCCATGGTTTGTTTGCGCTTTTGGACTTTTAAAAAGGTGGATTGTCCAAACGTCGACTTACAACTCTCCTTGGACTTTGAAAAGCTGTTCAAGAGGAATGGGATAAAATACCTCTCCCGATACTACAAAAGGCTTTACTTTATTGTCTAGAAAATTACGGTGTAAAATGAGAGTGAAAAATAAGGGTCATCAAATGGGAGCACAAAACACAAAACTTAATATTTAAAATATTTCTCTATACTTCCCTCCCCCTTAGCTTAATAAGTAAAACTAAATTTATTAATAAAATAGCAGAAAACTAGCAAAGTAGGAAAAGTTAGATAAAACGTTTATTTTCAGCTTTGATACCTAAGCAGAAAATAAACAATTAGAAACTTCTTTTATTGATTACAATAACGATATAAATATTCATATGGTGTGTGGTGTATTTAATTATGGCATAGCACACTAGGACTATCTGCCTAAGAGGAGGGATGCCTTTCGTGGAGGACTTTCTAAGGGAAACTGGCTCGTATACACGTTACACATGGGGAAAACCACGAAAACACCCATGCAGCCAGCCCGTTCGCGGGATTCGAACCTCGGACCGAACTACCAGTGTTCAGCGACTTTACTGCTCGGCCGCTGGTGGGCCTCCTAAATATTCATATGAAATTACCAAATGCTTACATTAAAAATTCTGTTGATTAAATATAATAAAGGTATGGATTATTATGACTAGCCGCTTTAGCCCTCATCTTCCTAAAATAGTCATTATAAGAAAGAAATTAATACACACATATACGTCTATATATATAACTAATTAAAGTAAAAAGAACAAAAGAAAATAGACTTATGTGGTCAAAAACTTTGCGCATTGTGCTGCAAAATTTAGAAAAAAGTTAAAAGAAAATTCCTAGTTCGTACGCTAAAATTTGCTTAAATACTGTGGTTCCGTGAAAATATTAACATAAGCAAAATAAGGTGCAATGAAACGTGTTACAAAGATTAAATAATACAAACACTTGAATATTTGCAAATAAAAATCAATACTAATAGTAAGCAGTA